AAAATGGCCAGTTTAACGAGGATCACAAGGTAACTGTGCCCCAGGCCCTGAAAAAAAAAAACAGAATGGAGCCATTCCAGTCCGAGAGAGCGAACCCTTCCGCGCCGGGCAGAACAGTCCCAATGAAGCATTCGAGGGCCTCGGTTCTTCCCTGGAGTCGAGGAGTAGGTGCCGCACCACCTTCGTGAAGGTGTTCTCGCCTCCTCAGATCTCCCCAGAGCTCGCATGGCGTGGAGCTGTCCTGAGCGATCGCCCAAGCTTCGACAGGGTGCTCGGATGGGGCTCAGGCCAACCCCACTGCCTTCAGGAGCTTTGGGCACATCTGAGGAGGGCCAAGCCCCAAACCATTTGGCTCAGCCCCGAATGTAGAGCCTTCTCGGCCCTCAATAACATCAACATGCGCTGCGTGACTCCAGAGGGCCGTAGTCGAATGATCTCCGAGGGTTTGAGAGCGCTGACCTTGTGCATGGAACTAGCGCTGTATCAGGCCCAGAGGGGCCGCTTCTTTGCGTTTGAGCATCCTCTGTTCGCAGCGTCGTGGATGGCTGGGGTGGTCGGCGCTGTGTCGCGGTTGCCCCGTGCGCAGAAATTAAGGGTAGAGATGTGCACGCGCGGCCTGCAGGTGCACCTGGACGGACGCAGCAAGAAAGCCACCGGGATATGGACGAACCACCCTGGGCCTCAAAAAGAGTTGAGGTCGGATCTGTCTCGGGGGCTACCGGCGCATCATCCTCGAGAACCGGCTTCCTCGGAAAGCTCAGGTGCCCCCCCCCTGGTTCGTTCGAGCGATGTCTAGGGCCATCTAGGAGACCTGGAGCAACGACCGACCATCGGAACCCACCTTGGCGCGACATGCTCGAAGGCCCAGACGCCCAGTCCCTCTTCGTGTTCTGGGCGCTGGAGGCACTGGGGGAGCCGGACGAGGCGGGGTCGGATTCTGACCCCGACGAGTCAGAGACGCGGCCGCCCGATGAGGGAGGTCCGAGGTCTAGCCAAGAGACGGCTCCGAAGGTCACTGAGTCCGAACAGAGGCTGGCTTCGAAGTTACATGTTTACATGTGGCGTTCTGAGTTGCGAAAACTTGTTCGCGTTATGAGAGCTGGCGGCGCCAAGGTTAGAATTCTTTGGTGGATCAGAGAGAATGTTAAATGCCCCGAGTGCGAGGAGAGGGAAGGTCCAGACAAGCACAGAAGAGTAGCTCTCCCCAGCGCGTTTCGATTCAAACACATTTTAGGCGTCGGCCTGTTTTAATTGAGGTTCTCCAGCGTTCTCTATCCTGTTCTGGACGTGGTGGGCACCGGGTCGAACCTTCAGGCGTGTGAGAGTTTGTCGGATGCCAAGGCTTCTACCGTCTGGCACGGGTTCGTCTCTTCCTGGATGCGTTTGGCCCCCGCATGCGACGATTATCGACGGGGGATTCGAATTCCAGGACCGGTTCCCCAGGGGGTTAGAGCAGTGGGGGGATTTGCAGCATGCGGATGCCAGCAGCCCTTGGCTGAACGGGAGAGCCGAACGCCACGGGGGTTGGATCAAGTCCAGGATCCAGGGACAAATCGACTCGGTCTCGGAGCCCCCCTCCAGTCTCGAAGATTTGGACTCCTTGATTCGCAAGCTCACGGCGCAAAGGAATCGCTACTGGCACCGGGTGGTTTTCGCCGTTACCACTGGATGTCGGATGCAACCCGGGAGTGTCCCAGGAGTTCCTTTCTGACGACGGCCTGGGTCTTCCCGGATGGCAGGAGATGATCAAGCCCCCTTCGGGGCGAGACGAAGCTGGGTCGGAATTTGCCAGAGCACAGCACGTTCGCGACCGAGCTCGACAGCTGGCGATGGAGACCACCGCGCGAGACCACATCCAGAGAGCGACTCGGGCCCAGGGACCTCCGGTGAACGCCTTCGCTCCAGGACAGTGGGCGTCTGTGTGGCGGCGCCTCGCGCGCGACACTTCCAGGTCTGAGTCCGTTGGGGTTGGGCTGGGCGCGTGGGCGGGCCCGGGAGTCGTGGTTCTCCTGGAAGGAGCAACCGCTTGAGTTGCGATGAGGTCTCGCCTTTGGAAGTGCTCGGCAGGGCAAATCACACCTGCTTGTGCCGAGGAGGGGCCCGGCCTTCAGCTGGCACAGGACCCACGGTGGATGGATTTGATGGAGCAGGCCCGAAGGGGTCGAGCGACGGCCGTCGACGTTCAGCGCGAGGAGCCCCCTCCTGATGAGGCCTGGGACAGGCCTGGCCATGCAGGAAGGGGCTATCAACCGACGCTTCCCTCGGCCATCTCCAACCCAGGAGCCAGGCCAGAGGGAGCTTTGCAGGATCCCCGAGGGGCGGGCCCCGGACCCAGACCGAGAGCTCATCTCCTGGGATCCGCGGATTCTGGGCTCAGCGGCTCGCCGAGGCGATCAGCCGCCGCTTTGCCTGGGTCAGTGTCAGCTCAGCCGTCCACGCGACTACCGTCAATATCCGAAGATGAGGCGGTGTCGACTTCCATTCCTTCTACCCCTGTTGCGTCCGAGACCGAGGAGAGAGACTCGTCGCCGCCGTTGGACAACGATCGAGACGCGATTGTCCCAGGGAGCCCAGTCGAACCCCGACCCGCCATCCGACGCAGGACCGAGCTTAGGCAGCCAGACGACATCCCAGGTTGCATCCGCCGGGCCCGCGAAGCCTCCTGACTCCCTGGCTGCCGGCCCCAAGTCCAGGGACTTCGGGGGCTCCGAGTCAGAGAGAGCAGAAGGAGGTGAGCGGGGGCCCATCGTCGGACAGCGCCGGCGTGGCTCAAGCGCCCGAGTCCAGGCGGTCGGTTTCAGAGCGCATCCGGAGATCGAACGTCGCCTGGGACGTCCGCCCTCACCTCCCCCTCGACCAGACAAAGAAAAGGCCCCCTCGGCGTGAGGGCCCTGAGCTGTGCGAGTTTTACGTCACTCCCTCGGGCGACGGAGACGTTCTCCTGGGGAAGTTCAAGGACAAAGAAGGATCAGGGACCAGGTCCGAGGTTTTCGCCACGGGACGAGGGGGTGGAATCGCGTGGTCTAAGCTTTCCCCGGCCGGGCGATCGAAATTCGACATTTCCGATGCATCCGAATGGAAGAACATGCTGGGCTCCGGCGGGGTGAGAATCATACCTCCTGCGGAGGCCAGGGTGACTCGGGAGTCCCAACCAGGGCGCATCATCTCCTCCCGCATGGTGCGCCGGTGGAAACCCCAGGAGGGCACCTTTCCGGAGCAAGCGGCGAAATCCAGATGGTGCACGCGGGCACCAGGACTCCAGGACCCCGACACCGGATGGCTGGCCTTTTTCTCCCCGACCCTACAGACTGTTTCGATGATGCTGTTCATGCAGGTTTGAATGAACACCGGGATGTTGGCGGACATAGCTGACCTTCGGGGTCGAGAGCAAGCCTGAGGATGCGCGCGTGACAGCTCGCACACATAACAATACACATAACGATAGCCGTGATATCACGAAAATTGCGAATGCGAATGACAATGGTCATAACGATCATACTACAGAGAAGAGAAGAAAACAACTGATTATCCCGGCAAAGCAACCTAACAGCGATGTGTAGGAGCATATCTGAAAGCATTCCCCTTACGATTCAGATGAGAATACACTTGTAGAATTCTGCTGTTCTCGCAGTCGTAGTCGCATTCGCGATGACAGTTGCAGTGGCAACGGCAGTCGCAGTCACAGCCTCAGCTTGCCTCAGCCTCAGCCTCAGTCTGCCTCAGCCTCAGCCTGCCTCAGCCTTAGCCTCAGCCTGCTTCAGCCTCAGCCTCAGCCTGCCTTCAGCCTCGGCCTCAGCCTCAGCCTGCCTCAGCCTCACCCTGTATCAGCCTCAGCCTCAGCCTCAGCCTGCCTCAGCCTCAGCCTGCCTCAGCCTCAGCCTCAGCCTGCCTCAGCCTCAGCCTCAGCCTGCTTCAGCCTCAGCATCAGTCTGCCTTCAGCCTCGGCCTCAGCCTCAGCCTGCCTCAGCTGCTCAGCCTCAGCCTCAGCATCAGCCTCAGCCTCAGCCTCAGCCTCAGCCTGCCTCAGCCTCAGCCTCAGCCTGCTTCAGCCTCAGCCTCAGTCTGCCTCGGCCTCAGCCTCAGCCTCAGCCTCAGCCTGCATCAGCCTCAGCCTCAGCCTCAGCCTGCCTCAGCATCAGCCTCAGCCTCAGCCTCAGCCTCAGCCTGCCTCAGCCTCAGCCTCAGCCTCAGCCTCAGCCTCAGCCTCAGCCTGCCTCAGCCTCAGCCTCAGCCTCAGCCTGCCTCAGCCTCAGCCTCAGCCTGCCTCAGCCTCAGCCTCCTCAGCCTGCCTCAGCCTCAGCCTGCCTCAGCCTCAGCCTCAGCCTGCCTCAGCCTCAGCCTCAGCCTGCTTCAGCCTCAGTCTCAGTCTGCCTTCAGCCTCGGCCTCAGCCTCAGCCTGCCTCAGCCTCAGCCTGCCTCAGCCTCAGCATCAGCCTGCCTCAGCATTCAAAATGTGGCCCGGGAATGGAGTTCTGGGAACTCGAAGACCACGAAGTGGCGTACAGTTGGCTCCGGGCATTCAAAATCATGCCCAGGAATGGAGTTCTAGGAACTCGAAGAACACGAAGTGGCCTACAGTTGGCTCTGGGCATTCAAAATCATGCCCAGGAATGGAGTTCTGGGAACTCGAAGACCACGAAGTGCGTTACTGTTGGCTAAAAAAGGAGTCCCCGGCATCCTCCCCCGGATCGCTCCCAGACCCCCCTGGGGCGTCATGATGCTCTCTTTTGACCCTACTAGAAACCTATCAGTCTTCGCTGTTAGGTAACAGTGACACTCACCATTACAATAACAGGCAAACGCTACATACATGTAAACTCTCGGAGCTCCGCGCGGACTTCTTGGATCGGCGCTGGGTAACCCCCTGGCGGCGCCTCCGGCACCACCCCTGACGCGCTCCGCGCTCCAGGGCAGTGTTTCAGGGCAGATCCAAGAAATCCGCGCGGACCTCCGAAAGTTTATGCCTACTCCATATTTCGTTCCCTTGTGGCAGCCCCCAGGACGGAGCGCTGGTCGGACCCCGCCGTCTTGGAGGAGCTCAAGTTGAGCCTGGAGGCACCGCTGCTCCTGGCCGTGGAGCAGCACCAGTGCCCCTTTGGGGTCGCGCTGCCCGGCGACGTCACGTGGCCGAGCCCGCCGGAGAGCCTGCGCGGCATCGTGGCGCCGCGCACACCGCTCAAGGTTCTTTGGCGAGACAGTTTTCCGTAAGGAGGGAAGATGGGCCTAGATGAGGAGAAGGGAGGAAGAGGACGAGGAGAGGTGGGGGACGGAGGATGGAGGAGGACGAGGAGGAGGGAGGAGGGGTGGGGGAGGGAGGACGGGCGGGGGAGGGAGGATAAGGGGGACGAGGAGCATGAGGAACATGGAGGAATATGTTTGGGAGGAGAAGGAGGAGGAGGAGGAGGAGGAGGAGGAGGAGGAGGAGGAGGAAGAGGAGGGAAATTTGGAGAATGAGGAGGAGGAGGAGGAAGAGGAGGAGGAGGAGGACGAGTTGTTGTTGTTGTTGTTGTTGTTGTTGTTGCGCTTTCATTATTGTAGAAGGATTACAGTTGATCCCCCCTCTGGTGCACATTGAGTTTTTTCAATTGAAGTGCCCCTCCCGGCGCTCGCACCCTGTTTTTAATCAGGGAAAGTCTTCATCCTCAAACTGCGTTGTTGGCCCCCGGGTTACAACAACAACGGCTCCCGTTTGAGATTTCCTCACAATTTTGCCAGAACCCCCGCTGACGCCCGAGACTTCCTCGCATTTGATTCAGGGATCGCGCTCTCGCTTGGGACTTCCTTACAATTTACTCAGGAATCGTTCTCTCGGTGATCTGGAGTCGCGCTCTCGCTGGAGAGTTGCTTGCAATTATACTCAAGAGTAGCGCCCTTGCGTTGGAATTTCCCGCAATTTATTCAAGCGCCGCGCTCCCGACATTCAGGCACCCAGGAGTCGCGTTCACGCTAAGGACTCCCTCACAGATGATTTAGGAATCTGGATCTCGCTGTCCTTCTTGGACGCGTTGCAGCCCTTCGTGTCCCCCTCGCTGCCCTTCGTGGACCCGTTGCAGCCCTTTGTGGGCCCCCTCGTTGCCCTTCGTGGCCCCGTTGAAGCCCCTCGTAGCCCCCTCGCTGCCCTTCGTGGCCCCGTTGGAGCCCTTCGTGGCCCCCTCGCTGTCCTTCGTGGCCCCGTTGCAGCCCTTCGTGGCCCCCTCGCTGCCCTTCGTGGCCCCGTTGCAGCCCTTCGTGGCCACCTCGCTGCCCTTCGTGGCCCCTTATATGTATGCCCTTCGTGGCCCCCGCTCGTTCGCGCCCGTCGTGGCCCCAATTGCATGCTCTTCGTGGCCCTGCTGTCGCCCTTCGTGGCCCCGTTGCAGCCCTTCGTGGCCCCCTCGCTGCCCTTCGTGGCCCCGTTGCAGCCGTCCGCGGCCCAATATACATATGCCTTTCGCGGTCCCCGCTCGTTCGCGCCAGTCGTGGCCCCATTTCGTGGCCCCGCTCTCGCCCTTCGTGGCCCCCTCGCTGCCCCACGTGGCCCAGTTGCTACCCTCAGTGGCCCCGTCATCGTTGCCTTCTGTGGCCCCGCATTATCTGCCCTTCGTGGCCCCCGCTCGTTCGCGCTCTTCGTGGCCCCATACGCATTCCCTTCGTGTTCCCGCTGTCGCCTTTCGTGGCCTACTTCGTGTCCTTCGTGGCCATGCTGTCGTCCTCTCTCGCGCTCTCGCTTTCGCTCGTCGTCGTCGTCGACGTCGTCGTCGTCATCGTGGTCTGTCCCCTGTCCGTCCCTTTGGGGTCGGGTTGCCGCCGATCAGCGCTGTCGCTGGCCACGCCGACGGTCCGCGGCCGCCCCGCCGCTTGCCGGGGCCCGGCCTGCAGAGCAGAAAGGTATACCCCCCAAAAGGGGTACGATCGAAGACGAAGAGAGCGGGTATCGAGGGTTTGGGTAATACACGTAAACGGACACTCGAGCGGAGAAGAGCAAACAGTCTTAAACTGATTGTTTAAAACTCATTTCTAAAGAATAATTATTGCTGATCTCCGGGAACGGTTCTGCGCGCTCTCGCTTCGACGCCGGCTACATTTTCTTTGAAAACGAGGCTCCTGCTCGAGCGTTGGCTTGAGCCTAAATGTGGGCCCTTGGAAGCCCAGCTACGAGAACAATAGCTCCCGCTTGATACTTCCTCACAATGTACCCCGAGACATCCTGGCCAGAGAGTCCCCCGAACTCAGGAACGGCGCTCTCGCTCGAGACTTCCTCGCAATTCAATTAACGCGGCGGAGGCCCAGCCACGACGACAAGGGCTCCTGTTCGAAACTTCCTCAATATTTACTCCGAGAGCCCCTGGCCAAGAAGGCCCCCGAATTCAGGAACGGTGCTCTCGCCCGAAACTTTCCCGTAATCCAGGCAAGTGAATGGAGGCCCGGGCACGGCGACAAGGGCTCCCGTTCGATATTTCTCCATAGGTATTCCGAGAGCCCCTTGCCAGAGATGCCCCCGAATTCAGGAAAGGCGCTCTCGCTGGAGACGTATTCGACTTCAGTCAGTGGCCGACAAGGAAGAGATTCTCCCCGAAAGGGGGTGCAGTCGGAGACGAAGAGGGTGGGTATCGAGGGTATACGGAATGCAAGACACGCGTGCCAGTAAGAGCGAACAGTCTTGAAATTATTATTACTGTTGTTGAGTTTTTGGTTTCTGTTGTTGTTGTTGTTGTTGTTGTTGTTGTTGTTATTGTTCTTTTTGAATTTTGACAATTGAATATTTGTTTGCTGATCCACCCTCCGGTGAACATAGTTTTTTCCAATGAAGTGCTTCCCCCGGACTCGCACCTTGTTTTTTAACGGGGAAAGTCACGTGGCTCAAATTGTGTTGTTGGTTCCTTGTTTGCATCAACAGCGGTTCCCGCCTGAGACTTCCTCACAATGTATTCCCAAATCGCGCTCTCGCGCGGGACCTCCTCACCATTTGTATACTAATCGCGTTCTCGCGTGGAACTTCCTCGCAGTTTATTCAGACGATGCGCCCTCGGCGCTGAGGAATCACGCTCTCGATCGAGATTTACTCGCGATTCATGCAGGACCCACGCTTCAGCAACCCGCGTGCTCGACCTGGTCGCCTGGGCCCGCCTTCCCGACCTGCCCGCTATGGGTCTGCCCACCCGATTTGCCCGTCTGGTTATACCACTTGTGTTCTGCTCCTTGCCCCCTCTCCTGCTAATTTCTCTAGTGTTCCATTATTTTCCCTCTTTCTTCCACCCGTCTTCTCCTCCCTTGTTTTAGGGGCTGCACTAAGTGCACGTGGCAGGTAAGGAAGATATATCCTCTAGGGGGTACGATCGAAGACGACGCGGGCGGGTACCGAGGGTTCGGGATATACGTATTGATTGGCACGTGGGCAGATAGGAGCGAACATATTTAACATGACGGTTGTTGTTGTCGTTGTCGTTGGTGGACACATGCGCTGGCGTTCCCCCCCCCTTCCCCCCCAACACCGACACCCCAACAGATCCCCAGAGGGGGCCTTCGAAGGCCTTTCGGGCCACCCTATGGGGCCACGAATCGCTGCATTTGGTGGGAGAGACGCGTGTGGACACCGCCACTGGGGTCTTCGGTGGAGCTCCTTATGGAGCCACGAATCGCTGTGGGGTAGACGCATGTGGACACCGCCACTTGCGCCGTAGGTGGACCCCCCTATTGGGCCACGAATCGCCGTGCTGGGTGGGGGAGACGCATGTGGACACCGTCACTGGGGACTACCACCACCACCACCACCACCACCACCACCACCACCACCACCACCACCACACCACTACTACTACTACTACTACTACTACTACTACTACTACTACTTCTACTACTACTACTACTACCACTACTACTACTACTACTACTTACTACTACTACTACTGCTACTACTACGGCTACTACTACTACTACTACTACTACTACTACTACTACTAATACTTACTACTACTGCTGCTACTACTACTACTACTACTACTACTACCACTACTACTACTACTACTACTACTACTACTACTAGTGCTGCTGCTACTACGACTACTACTGCTACCACCACTACTACTACTACTACTACTACTACTACTACTACTACTACCACTACTACGACTACTACTACTACTACTACTACTACTACGGCTACTACTACCACTACCACTAGTACTACTACCACTACTTCCACCACTACTATTATTACTACTGCTACTACTACTAGTACTACTACTGCGACTACTGCTATTATTATTATTATTACACCTACTAGTATTACTTTTACTATCACGAGTACAACTTCTACTACGGTTACTACTGCTACTATGTGCATTACTGTGTTTACTTGTTCTTCTTCTGCGACTACCAGTACTAGTAGTATTACTGCTACGATCTCTGCTACTACTACTACAGCTGCTATTACTATTACCACTATTACTACCACTTCTATTACCTCTACTACTACTCCTACTACTACTTTCATGTATACGTTATAGATGTGTAATTATTATCGCTTCTACTACTACTGCTATGTCTAATATTATTGCTGTTGCTGCTACTTCTACTACTGTTGCTACTCCTACTCCTTCTTCTACTACGACTACTGCTACTACCTTTGCTACTAGTACTACTACTACTACTACTCGTATGGCTGTTCCGATTATTATTGCTACTATTTCTGTTCTTAGTGCTGCTACTACTACCATTACTAACACCACTACTACGGCTGCCACTACTATGTCGACGACTATTACTAATACTACCATTACTGCTGCTATTATTTTGTGTACTACTACGAGTACTGCTACTACTACCACTACTACGACTACTACTACTATTACGATTACTACTACTACTACTACAGCTACTACTACTGCTTCTGCTTGTCGTGGTGCTAGTTCTGCTTTTAATACTACTATTATCATTGCTGTTAAGCTACTACTATTACTATTACTACTACTGCTCCATTTTGTATTACTATTACTACTACCACCACTAACATTACCACTACAAGTAATATTATTATAATGATGATCGCGATTGGTACTACTACGATTACGACGCCGGCGACGACGACAACGACAACTATTAGTATTACGAGTACTACTACTTCAGCAACAACAGCTACTTAAACCATTACTACTACTCATATTCATTATTACTACGACGACTTCTACGACTACAACGAGTTGTTTTATTGCTTCTGCCACGATGACTACTGCTACTGCCACGTTTCCGGTTATGAATCTACTTATTGCCATTGCTACTGCTATTACTATTTCCACGAGTGCCGCTACTTTACTACCACGACGACTATTACTATTGCTACTATTATTATTACTGTTTTGACTGAAGCCACTATTTCCACGATGACTACTACTACTACTACTACTACTACTACCACCATGACCACTACTGGAATGCTTCTACTACTATTATCACAAGTACTACCACTTTTACCACTGCTCCTATCTCGACGACCATCACTACTGATTCTTCTGCTACTACGTTGAATATTTTTTATTACTAATACGGCGACCACTACTACTCTTAGTCTTATCATGACTACTATTACGATTACTATTATTAGTACTGCTAGTACTATCACTATTACCACCACTACTGTTACCATTACTACTACTACTACTACTACTACTACTATTACTATAACTTTTATTTACTACTACTACTACTACTACTACTACTACTACTGCTGCTGCTGCTACTACTACTACTACCTCTACTCTACTACTACTATTAAATATTCTTGCATGATTCCGAAGGGTTCCTATGTAATCCAAAGGAGTCCTAGGGCTTCAGGGATTCCGAGGGATCTCTTAGGGACTCCTACGGATTCTTAGGCATACCTCAGGATTCCTACGCGCTCCGAGCGATTCCTAAAGGGTTCCCACGGATTCTTTGGCATTCCCAAGGCTTCCTTCGGATCCTTATGACTTCCTGAGGATCCTTAGGGAGTCCGAAGGATTCTAGCACGGGGGTCTTCGTATGGGTATCGCTACATATTGAGAGATCCTTACTCGAGTATCCTTTGCAAGGAGCCCTTCGTAGGGAATCTTTACTCCGGAACCCTTAGTCGGGATTCCGATGTCGAAATGCTCAATCAGGAGTCCTTAGTAGGACATGCTCAGTAAGGTAGCCTTTGTAGGGAATAACTTTTCAGTAGGGGATCTTTTGTAGGCATCCCCAGTAATGCGTCGTGTGTAGGTAGGAAATTCCAAGTAAGGGAATCCTTTCTGCATGTTTTCCCGATGAGGAATCCTTTTGCAGGGAATTCCCAGTAGGGGATCTTGTGTAGGCATCTCTAGTAAGTGAGCCTGAGGAAAGAGTCCGCTAGGAATCGCCAGCATCCATGGTGCGACAGAATGGCCAGCAAAACCTCGCTTCGCCCGTGCGAACACGTGTCAACGTCTGCAAACTCGGAAGGACAACCGTACGGCTCCGTTCTTCAGAATTCTGTCATCAGTGGGATTCCCACAGGGATTCCGAGGCACTGTCGGTGTCGGTGTCGGTGTCGGGGGGGGGGTCGCGGGTCCACAGGCCATCAGTGCAGGGGTTCGCCCTGGGGGAGAAGGCGTGAGCAGGCGTACCGAGGGCCGGACCGCAGTGTGAGTGTTGATTTTGCTGTTGTTGTTGTTGCTGTTGTTGTTGTTGTTGTTGTTGTTGTTGTTGAACTTGTAAATGATCACTACTAAAGAAGAATTCTTGTTGATCCCCCCCTCCGCTGACCATTGTGTTTGTCAGTTGAATTGCTTCCCCTGGGGCTCGCACCTTGTTTTTACTATGGGAAGTCACGGTGCTCAAACTGTACTGTTGGCCCCGGGGTACAACAACAACGGCTTCCGCTTGAGACTTCCTCACAATTTATTTAGGACCCCCGTTCCTGCCTGAGGCGTCTTCGCATTTTACTCAGGAGTCGCGCTCTCGCTTGGGACTTCCTTACAATTTATTCAGGCATCGCCCTCTCGGCGCTCTGGAGTCGCGCTCTCGCTGGGGATTCGCTTGCAAATTAATTAATTAAGAATCGCGGTCTTGCGTTGGAATTCCCCGCACCTTGCTCAAGCGCCGCGCTCCCGACACTCAGGCACCCAGGAGTCGCGCTCACGTTGAGGACTCCCTCGCAGCTTACTTAGGAATGGGGATCTCGCCGCCCTTCGCGGCCCTGTTGCAGCCCTTCGTGGCCCCCTTGCTTCCCGCCGTGGTCCCGTTGCAGCTTTTCGTGGCCCTTTCGCTGCCCTTCGTGGCCCCGTTGCAGCCTTTCGTGGCCCCCTCGCTGCCCTTCGTGGCCCCGTTGCAGACCTTCGTGGCCCCCTCGCTGCCCTTCGTGGCCCCGTTGCAGCCCTTCGTGGTCCCCTCGCGTCCTTCGTGGCCCCGTTGCAGCCCTTCGTGGCCCCCTCGCTGGACTTCGTGGCCCCGTTGCAGCTTTTCGCGGCCCCCTCGCTGCCATTCGTGGCCGCGTTGCAGCCTGTCGTGGCCCCCTCGCTGCCCTTCGCGGCTCCGTTGCAGCCCTTCGTGGCCCCCTCGCTGCCCTTCGTGGCCCCATATACGTACGCCCCTCGTGGCCTCCGCTCGTTCGCGCCATTCGTGGTTCCATATGCATGCTCTTCGTGGCCCCGCTGTCGCCCTTCGTGGCCCCTCGCTGCCCTTCGTGGCCCCGTTGCTGCTCTCAGTTGCCCCATCCTTGCCCTCTGCGGCCCAATATACGTATGCCCTTCGTGGCCCCCGCTCGTTCGCGCCCGTCGTGGCCCAAAATGCTTCTCTTCGTGTCCCCGCTGTCGCCCTTTCTGGCCTCCTCGCTGCCCTACGTGGCCCCGTTGCTACCCTCAGTGGCCCCGTCGTTGCCTTCTGTGGCCCCGCATTATCTGCCCTTCGTGGCCCCCGCTCGTTCGCGCCCTTCGTGGCCCCATACGCATGCCCTTCGTGGCCCCGCTGTCGCCCTTTGTGGCCCCCTTCCTGCCCTTCGTCGCCCCGCTGTCGCTCTCGCTCTCGCTCTTGATCTCGCTTTCGATCGTCGTCGTCGTCGTCGTCGTCGCCGTCGTCGTTGTTTTCGTCGTCGCCGTCGTCGTCGTCGTCGTGGTCGGTCCCCTGTTCGTCTCTCTTGGGGTCGGGCTGCCGCCAATCAGCGTTGCCGCTGGCCAGACCGACGGTCCGCGGCCGCCCCGCCGCTTGCCGGGGCCCGGCCTGCAGGGAAGCCCCCTCAAAGGGGTACGATCGAAGACGAAGAGGGCGGGTATCGAGGGTTTGGGAAATACACGTTGAATGGCACCTGAGCAGGTAAGAGCGAGCAGTATTAAACTTATTATTATTGTTGTGGTTGCTGTTGCTGCCGTTGCAACTGCTGCTGCTGCTACTGCTGTTGTTGTCGTCGTTGTTGTTGTGGTTGTGGTTGTGGTTGTGGTTGTCGTTGCTGTTGTTGTTGTTGTTGTTATTGTTATTGTTATTGTTCTTGTTATTGTTCTTGTTCTTGTGGTTGATGTAATGGTTGTTGCTGTTGCTGCTGTTGTTGTTGTTTTGTTGGTGTTGTTGTTTTCGTTGTCGTTGTTGTTGTTGTTGTTGTTGTTGCTGCTGCTGTGGTTGTTGTTGCTGTTGCTGTTGTTGTTGTTGTTATTGTTGTTGTTGTTGTTGTTGTTGTTGTTGTTGTTGTTGTTGTTGTTGTCGTTGTTGTTGTTGTTGTTGTTGGTGTTGTTGTTGGTGCGGTTGTTGTTGTTGTTGCTGTTGCTGCTGCTGCTGCTACTGCTTCTGCGGCTTGTTTGTCGCGTCTGGAGGCGTTTTTTCCCAGGCCCCTTCGCGTCGCGACAAGACACAGGACAGACGTTTTCGTTCGCATGGTTGTCGCGTTCGGAGGCCCTTGCCGGGCGTCGGGGCCGTCAGGAAACGACTCGGGATGAAAAGCAGTTCCCAGGGAAGGGGTCCAGACCTCAGGAGGTCCACGGTGTATAACAGTATGTGGGAGCTCTTGGGGGCCCATCGGGGCAATGTTGGCCCACTCGGGCGGCCTTCCTCGGCGATCCTGGAGGCCTCGGCGAGCCTTGGAGAACGCCAGGGAGGCGTGAGGCCACCCAGGAAGCCTCGGGGAGGAGGAGGAGGAGGAGGAGGAGGAGGAGGAGGAGGAGGAGGAGGAGGAGGGCGGAGGAGGAGGAGGAGGAGGAGGAGGAGGAGGAGGGGGGCGGAGGAGGAGGAGGAGGAGCAGGAGGAGGAGGCGGGGGTCTTTCTAAGAGACTCGCAGAAACCAAGCCAGACGGCACTTGGGGCCTCCTACCGCGCCTCGGTGTTGCAGGGGGCACGGTTGCGGATCTTGGCTGCTCGTCCCGAGGTCGTGGCCGTCGCGTACTCCCTCGTGCCTTATGCGGTGGGCATCTCGGCCTCGGTGTCGTTTTTCAGGCGCAGGGGCACGCGGCAGCTCTGGATGCTCCTCTGGGCCTGGCCCATGATCCCCCTGCAGGAGCTTGTGTTCAAGAGGATCTCACCGGAGCCCCGCCCAGGAACCATGCTGCAGGTTCGCGACTACGCTGGCATGTACGCGGGGTCGTGCCTGAAGAAGTGCGGAATGCCCTCCAGCCACGCCAATCTGACGATTGGGTGGTTCACCCTTCTTCTGCTGGACGCAATCTATCGCGTCAGGCCGTTTGCGCTGGGAAGGAAGACGCAGACCATTTTGATTCGTCCGGGCGCCAGCGGAGCGCAGAAGTACGCAAAGTGCTTGCGGTTGTACCTGACCGTACCTTGGGAACACCGCGACCTTCTGACGCACACAGAATTTCTGGTCTACATATCGACGTGGATCCTCATCCTTATTCCAGTGCCCTTCATGCGAGTCGCCCTGTACGACCACACGTTCGACCAGGTAACCGTAGGAGCGATGATAGGATTATCGTCCGCAGTTGTGTGGTGGCGGATCGCGAGGAGACTCCAACGCAGATACCAAGAGCATGAGGGGTGCCGCGTTTTTTACGGTCTGCTTGAGCACAACCATAAGCTGACCCAGTTCCACCTCACGAACTCGGGAGACATCGTCAGCGAGATGCCAGAACACCTCGGCCTATCGCCGGGCTCGGCACTCTGAGACATGGCCGCTCCCTGCGTCTCCCCTCTTCCTCGCTGGTTCTGGTGACGCTCCTTTCACAGGATGCTCAAGTCGCATACAGTCGGCCCAGATGAGTAGGTCGACCCTGCCAGCTCAAGGGTACCCTTGTGTCCGCGACACGTGCCTTCTTACACTCCTATGGCGATGTGGCCCTCGGAAGGGTCTTGTGTCCTCTCGCGTGTCCTGTCCAATCAAGGCCGACTGTATGTGGGAGCTCTTGGGGGCCCATCGGGGCAACGTCGGCCCACCGCGGCGGCCTTCCTCCGCGATCCTGGAGGCCTAGGCGAGGAGGAGGAGGAGGAGAAAGCAGCATCGACTGAAAGCAGCATCGACTGTATGAGAGAGCAGTATCGACTGAAAAGCCAGAGCTTCGCGCGGATTTCTTGGCGCTGCGCTGGACCCCCCTGGCGGTGCCCTCGAGCGAGGGGCGTGCGGCGCCGGCTCACGAAGTCCGCGCAGGCCTCCGAGAGCTTGGGGCCCAGATCCTTTCATTCCTAATTCTTCGAAAGTTCTTTGATTTTTTTGGGGGGCCAGGATCCTTTCATTTCTAATTCTTCGAAGGTTCCTTGATTTTTTTGGGGGCCAGGATCCCTTCATTTCTAATTCCTCCATCCTGGGCCCCTTCCTGGCCACCAGGGGGCCAGGAACAAGTAGAAACGAGCACGACTAGAAATGAGCACGATCAGAAATGAACGACGTGTACGGTAGGTTCGTGTCGTGTCGACCGGCGGCGACCCCGCAAGCGGCGTTCAAGTTTGAACGCCGCGGGCGACCCAGAATCGTTTAATGTGGAACGATTTGGACGTTTCGGAGACGGCCGATCGTTCAAGGTTGAACGACCCCCGCGGTGTCAGGAACCAAGGCCGGAGTCGGCACGACACGAACCTGTCGTACGCTTCTGCAGCTTTCTCTTCTTCCGCCGAGCGGTCACGCCGGATTGCTCCCCCAGCGCGGGGCCTCCAAGTCATCCGTCGACCACACGCCAGAGAGTCCCTTCGCCGGAGTGACCTCTGGTGCGGGCTCACCGGGGTCCCCCCGACCGCCGAGCGTCCTGCGATGGTGGCGTCTTGCGCGCTTGAGTTTGGCCCCCCCAGAAATCCGATGTCGTGATTTTTTGAATACGGGGCCCCCAGAAGTCTCGACCCACTCCCCAGGTCGGATCTTTCGTCCCGAGTTGTTTTTTGTTCAAAAATGATCAGAAATTGTCTGGGGACGATTTTGAGTATCCTCGAGAATGTTTTGTTTTTTCGCCCCAAATCCGCCTGCAGGAGGACATGCCCGACCTAAACCCAGGGCCCGTTTCCCTCATCGGAGGACCAGAGGTGGACGCCGAGACCAAGATCGGCGGAGCGCCTCCACGGAGGGAAGGTGCTCCTGAGCTCGGTGATGGCGGTCGTTTTCGGGCTTCTAGGTTTAAGTCGGGCCTGTCCCCTCTACAGGAAGAATATTCAAAACTAGTAAAGATTAGTCTGGGGATGATCTCTTTGATTTTTTTAAATATTTTGGAACATTGTTCTGGTCGGAGGTGAGGGGGTGAGATCGAAGTGGAACGGAGAGCCCCCCTACCGGGAAATCGATTTCGGTTTCGTGTTCGGGCGTGCCGTGCGTGCGGGCGAGGCGAAGCTGCGTGGGCGGGCGAGAGGAAAGTCTCCTGGCTGAGGCGCGGCCGGACCAAATGATTCTCCACCGGGCGGCCGGTGGCGCGCGGTGTCCCGCCGGTGTCCCGGTGGTGTCCTCTGTGGCTGTTGCGCGGCCGGACCAAATGATTCTCCACCGGGCGGCCGGTGGCGCGCGGTGTCCCGCCGGTGTCCCGCCGGTGTCCCGTCGGTGTCCCGTCGGTGTCCCGGTGATGATGATGTTGATGATGATGATGGTGCTGATGATGATGAGGAGGAGGATATCGATAGAGAGACCGAATGTGATATCGATAGTGAGACCGAATGTGAGATCGATTGTGAGATCGATTGTGATATCGATAGTGAAATCGATAGTGAGACCGAAAGTGAGATTGATTGTGAGATCGATTGTGATATCGATGGTGAGATCGATAGTGAGACCGAAAGTGAGATCGATAGTGAGATCGATAGTGAGATCGATAGTGAGATCGATAGTGAGACCGAATGTGAGATCGATGGTGAGATCGATAGTGATATCGATGGTGAGATTGATAGTGAGACCGAATGTGAGATCGATAGCGAAATCGATAGTGAGACCGATTGTGAGATCGATTGTGAGATCGATTGTGATATCGATAATGAGATCGATAGTGAGACCGAATGTGAGATCGATTGTGAGATATATTGTGATATCGATGGTGAGATCGATAGTGAGACCGAATGTGAGATCGATAGTGACGTCGATCGTGATATCGATAGTGAGACCGAATGTGAGATCGATAGGGAAATCGATAGTGAGACCGAATGGGAGATCGATAGTGAGACCGAATGTGAGATCGATAGTGAGAGCGATAGTGATATCGAGAGTGAGATCGATCGAGTGCGACGTTGGTCCCTCCCCCCCCCTCACCTCCTTATCACCCGAAGGGTGGTCGTATAGGTATTCTTCATTTTTCATCCAAAATTCGCCTGCAGGGGGACGCCCGACCTAATTCTAAGTGGCCGGAGTTTTGCCCCGGCACCAACATCCAGGATCATCTTCCCCGGATGGAGCCAGTCCCTTCTCCCAGATCCCTGACGTCGCGACTTTTTCGCAATGTCGCCCCCAAGAGGTCCAGACCCCTTCCCCAGGACCAGCTTCTCATCCTGAGCCGTTCGTTCACGGTCCCGAGGCCAGGGAAGGGCCCCTGGAGGCCGAAAGTAGCGAAGAACCTCCCGTCGTGACTTTTGTCACAACTCGAGGGTGTCTGGGGTGTTGGTGTAGGTGCTCGCTCGCAGTCGGGCGTGTCCCTCTACAGGAGGAATATAAAAAATAGTCCAATAAAAAGTCTGGGGACGATTTCTAGACTATTCTGGAGTATTGTTTTTCCACTTTTTTGGGCACTGTTTTATGGTATTCGTCCTGCAAGGCCCGCCTGTAGGAGGACACGCCCGACCTAATGCTCACTTCCAGGCCTCTAACACTCGAGCCCCTCTGACCTGCGGCAGGCGAGGGGGGAAAGCACCGCGCAGGCCGCCCCGCGCCCCCCTCGCTTCGGCATGTTCAGCCCTCTCCGCAGAGGGCCCGCGCGCGGGGCGGAGCCGCCTCGCTGGAGGGCAAAATGCCCTCCCTGAGGGTGAGAGGAAACCTTCTCCTCCTCCTCCCTCCTCCTCCTCCCTCCTCCTCCTCGTCCTCCTCCTCCTCCTCCTGCTCCTCCTGTATATGCAGTTGGAACTCTCGTGGTCTTCATGGGGGAGTTTCTGGTTCTCATGGGCTCCAGCGTCGAAAGCAGAAAAAGGTCGACTATCTTTCCGCCAGGCATTCTATTGTTCTTCTGCAGGAAACGCACGGGACTCCAGGAGATGACGAAACCCTTCGACGGTCTCTACCTCAGCATCGTATCTACACTACTTACTGTCAGTCTGCTCACGCTGGTGGATGTGCTATCATCGTCCAACAATCTCTCGCTCGTCTCTTTCGCTCTGCTCGGCATCGCGTTCATCAGGCAGGCAGGCTCCACTCGCTTCTGCTTTTGGAGCCTATGGGATTTTTGCAAATCATCAATATTCATCTGGATCCTGAGCTTCGTGTGCAACAGAAAAGAAATGTGCTCTCGGAAGCAGCTCGTCTTGTTCGTGGGCCGAGGCTTGCGTTCACTCTCTTTGGAGGCGACTTCAACTTTTACGCTCCTGGAGAGGACCGTCAGTATCTTGACGGGCGGCGCTCGGGAGGTAATTCGTCGAATTGCTACCACCTGGATGGTTTCTTCCAGGCCAAGTTTCCTGGTCTAGCGGAGGTCGAGCAGGAATGGCCCACTCATGTTCGAAATCGCAATGGGGCTCCTGAGTCGGTTGCGAGGAATGCTTACACGTCTACCCTTCTCGACCTCCATCCTACCACAGGTGTACATGGGAGTGTCTTTGGCGTTGGCAACTGCAGTGGCCATATTCCGATCTACTTGGGGCTCACGCCGGCCTCGATGAGAAACCAGAACCAGGGGCGCATTCCGACTTGGGTTGCCAAACGCCCCAGTTTTCCTGGGCATGTCGAAGCGATTGCTGCATCTGTGGATTTTCACCTCGACCCGACCATCAAACTCGCTGAAGTCAAGTCAGTTGCCTTCGCCGCGAAGCAGGCGGTGCTTGCCGAACTTGCAGGCTCTTACCCAGCGACCCCCATACAGAAGATCTCGTGGATGCTTGCTGCGCAGCGCGCCATTCGTAGAGGGGACGGTGGCGTCGTCGCCAAGGCCTGCCGTGGGTTTCCTGATCTTCGGAGATTTATTGATACTGGGTCTGGGCAATTCTCGGACTTCGACGGGTTCCAAGGGCTGATGAATCTTCTGAATCGCGAGCGTATTGACCACCTCATGCACGAGAATCACGAGCTACCCGAAACCCACTCGAAGAAGCAGGCCCGAGCTGAGGCCTTGAGGAAACGTCAGGCGGGGTGGTCCCCCAAATCCAGGAAGATCGGGCTGGCCTAGATTCGAGACCCACGAGGCATGCCAATTGTTAACCCTGCTCACGGAGCTGAGGCGTTGCGAATTCACTGGCAGGGTATCTTCTCCGAGGTGGCGGTGGAGGAGGAGGTCATAGACATGTTTATACTGTTTGTGGACAAAGCCCTCCCGAACCCTGTTACGAAAATGCCGTTCTACCACTTTGTCGAGCTTCTGGAGGCTCAGTCGGATTCTGCCGTTGGCCCTGATGGGCTCCCGTATTCTGTTTGGTGGAAAGGGGGACGTCTGATGCACGAAACCCTGTGCGAGATATACGAGGCTCTACTGAGTGGCACCCCTTTGCCACATCAGTTTAACGTTGCACTAAGTGTCTTTCTGCCCAAGGGCACTGAGCGCGAGGACCAGTGCGTGATTGCCCGCCAGCCAGCCATCACCCGCCCCATCGCCCTCAGCAACACCGACAACAAAATTCTCAGCAAAATGATTGGCTGGTACCTCGCGCCCATTGCCGACAGCTCAGTCGACTTCAGCCAGCGTGGCTTTATCGGAGGCCGTCAGCTTGTTGAAAACATTATCGGGCTCGAGGCCGTCATTCTCCGCTGGGTCTCAGTGTATGGAGAGCCAGAGGCTGCCCATGTTTTTTTCCGACATCGCCAGTGCCTTGCCGTCTCTGGCGCACGGTTGGATCTTTCGGATTTTGCGAGCCATGGAACTTCCTCCAACTATTATCTGGGCCATCCAGGAGCTGTACCGTGACGTTGTCATGCACGTCTCCTGTCAGGGATTTTGTGAGCATGACGGTTTGGGCATTCGGTGCTCCCGAGGGGTGAGACAAGGATGCCCGCTTTCTGGACTGATTTGGGCGCTGTGCTTTGACCCGATTATCAGGAGAATGAAGTTCCAGCTCGCTCAGCATCAATGCAGGCTTGGTGTATTTGCGGAAGACCTTGGGCTCTCGTGTAGGCACTTCTTTGAGAGTATGCCTGTGGTTATGTCGGAGTTCAGGCTTGTTAAGCGAGGCGCCGGGCTCACTGTCAACACGAATAAGACGTTCATTGTGTTCTTCGGGGAGGAGGGGAAGGATTGGGTCGTCGAGAAGTTGTTGGAGAAGGGGGTTGAGGAGACAGATTTTCAGTTCGTTGCTGCTGCCAGGTATCTTGGGATTTTCTTAGGTCTCAACAGTGCGGGAGCGTCTTGGGCTCACCCGATCTCCGAGTTGAAGAAGAGAATCTGCCACATCAAGAGTCTCCAGATGGGTCTTCTTGCAAGTCTGGCGGCTTTCAACCATGTTGGGTTTCCGACGCTTACGTTTGTGGGCCAGTTCCTCCCGCCTCCACCCGAGGCCACTAGAGCTGTCCGAGAGGCGCTGCAGGCTTTGGCCAACGGACCCAGGCATGCGATCCCTCCGAAGCTCTTGCAGAATTTCAAGACTATCGGTGCGCCGCTCGAGCCGCGTCATCTCGAGCTCGAATGTAAAGCTGCCGCGTATCGAGTTGCCGTTCGGAGTCCGCAACTGCACCTTGCTCGTGAAGAGTGGGCCCGCGCGCTGGAAGATGATGAGAGAGTCCTTCTCCCTCGCCGGCAGTTATGGGTGCAACAGAGCATCTTTCATCACCTCTCGACTGTGCAGGACGAGCTAGAGCTGATCCCTCGATGCCCTGTTGATTGTCACACGCCTAATCTTCAACGGAAAGTGTACCAGCTCCTTCAAGCTAATATGGATGTCCCCTCTGCTGCTGCTCTTCTGCTTCCTCGGCTTCAACACTTCGATCCTCAGCTTTCTCAACCTGATGCTGATCGTTGCTTTCGCAACTTGCTTCTCCTCAGCGCCGAGCTTCCCTTCTTCATTGTTGTCGCTCAGCTGCGGGGGGTCTGCAACGGGTGGTGCGCTACGAGGAGGTTTAGACATAACGGAGGAGGAGCTCTAACGTGTCTATTCGGATGTCGTGCTGTCGGTGGCGATTGTGTGAGACACTACTATGACTGCCCTGTAGCAGTAGCCGCTCTCTCCCGTTTGTTCCCTAGCCTGTCTGCCTGCTTTGCCGAGCGTCCATCTCTGTCTCGTCTTCTCCTTCATCGTGTTTGCTATTCTAATCGTAGCCAGCTGCTTTCTCTAGGTGTTGCCTCTGATCTCCTGCTCTCCTCTTTCAATGCGCTGAGGAGCAAGGGGAGGATTTCGAGTGCTCAGGTTTTTGTTTTGATGGAAGCCCGTGCCCGCGCTATTGCGAAGAAGGCAATGCGGGTCAGGCTGCCTCTTGCGACAGGCGCCAGTCCCGATCACTCCGAGACTGTGCTCGCGCCTGAGGGGTGAGGTTTCGAGTTTCGGGTCCGCTTTGCTCTCGAGAGTGGAATTCATGGACATAGGACTTGTCGTTTCTCTCCTGTTGCCTCGCGTCCGCTTCTTTCGCTTCCCTTGCTCGCTTCGTGTCCGCCTGCCCTCTCTCGTGGTGAGCGTCGCTCCTCCTCCTGCTCCTCCTCCTCCTCCTCGGTCCCATATGGGACGCGCAATCCCTGAGCTTTTTGCGCCCGACACCTCGAGGTTCGGTCTGCACCGCCTGCGTAGTGCACTCGTCACTCTTCGGGGACATGATATGTTAGCGCGAAGCATGCCTGCAGACGGGCACGGGATTGAGGGGCCCAACGAGATCGACTTCTCTATTCTATCATTCCATTCTATTATTGCTCAAGTCTTGAAGGGTTCGCTCGCATGGGCCTCGCGCGCGGTCCCCTCTCAGCGATCGCGGCCGGGGTCATCCACGGGCTGGTGGTGCTTGGGGCCTGGCGGGTTGCGCCCCCGCCGGTGTGCCCTCGGCCCGTCTGCCCGGCGGCCCATTGCCCCTCGCCCGCGGGGCTCGGCCCGCCTGGCGGGGATTCGGCCGCGGGGCCTGCGGCTCTCTTGGCTGAGCTCCCCGAGGAGCTGGCGGAGGTTCGCGCAGCGGCCGCGCGTTTGGGCGACAGCCTCGCTGTGCTGCAGGCGACGGCGGACGTGGTGACGAGCTTCTGGCCCCTGATCTGGGTGCTGGTTGGTGGGCTCGTGAAGGACACCCTCGACAGGATCCGCCAGGCCCTCGCTCGCCGCCGCGATGCTGTCCGCGAGGAGGCGCCAGCTCTTCGCGGCGGACGGGAACGTCGTGGACGAGCCGGCCTTTATGAGTGAGATGAGGCCAGGCCGCCGCTTTGCCCTGTGGTATTCAGATGATACATACTGGCACGAGAGAGTTGCCCTGGCGTATGTGCGACCAGGAGTGTGGGTCATCACCGCCCCAGACGGCGACAGGTATCGCGAAAACCTGCGATGCCGTCGGGGCACCAGCGGGGCGGTTCAGGCGGTTCTGGTGGATCCAGGGCAGCCCGTTCTGGATCGCATGCGCGGGCGCTTCTACCGTTTCAAGGGCCCGCTGGAGCCCTCGGACTTGGTGGAGCAGGTCAAGATGGCCGAGGCGGAGAGCTACGCTATCACGCGCCGGGCTCCTGCGCCGCCGGCCGCCATCATGATGTGGGGCGGCGCGGACGTAGAGTACGAGCCCCTGATGGCCTCGGAGGGCGCCCGGCTGGTGCCGCTTGGCGGTGGCGGAGCGCCTGTCCACGGTGAAGAGCCGGCGCCGGCCCCCTTGCCGCCGCCTGGTTGCCGCCAGATGCGACCTGGCTCATCGTGGGCCCGCGCCGTCCCGACTTCGGCCGAGAGCGACATCCTGGCCCGGATGCGCCCCGAGCGGGAGAATACGCGATCGCGCTTGACGCGCGGAGAAGGCCAGTGCCCGTCCGACAGGTCGCGCTGGCGGACGTTGAGACTTTTACGGCATCGGCGCGGACAGGGATCGCTAAGATCCTGGAGGACGGGGCCGGCCCAGTCACGGGGCATCTGGAGGAGCGGCTGACCACGCGCTGGATGGCGGCACGAAGACGCCCCCCATCGTCGAGGACGCGAGGGCGCTGACGGTTGACTACGATGAACATGGAGAGCGGTACAAGGAGTGGAGATCCGCATGCGCCGAGGTCTCGTATAGCCATTTTGGCGACTAGGATAAGCACCACGAGGGGCCCGCCACCACGTTGGCCTTGTTCAAGAACATTCAGAGACAGGGCGGTGACCCCCGGTTGTGGTACGCCAGCTGGTGTCGCGAGGCCGGCGTCAGCCCGCAGGAGAGAACGGGCATCGAGATGAAGCTCTTGACCGACCTACTGTACCTCAGTGGCTGCTACGACCAGTTGAATGGTCCCTCGCTCGCGTGCATCGAGACCGTAGCTCGTCGTGTATGTCAGATCATCGAGGCCTACTCGACGGGCGTGCCTGGTCGTGCCATCTGGGAGGGCGTGAAGCATTTCACCCCGGTGGCTTCAGCATCATCTGTGGCCCCTGCTGAGCTACGTTCCCACGCGCACCGCCGGGCCAAGGATGAGATGGAGATCGAGAGCATGCGGGTGCGCACGCGGAGCCTGCAGCCGCCTGGAGGGCCAGGGGCGGCGCCGCCTGGTGCGCCCGTCAACCCGAAGGGCACCCCGAAGGGCGGCGGTCGGGGCCGTGGCCAGCCTGGGTAGGGAGCTGGCCAGGAGGGCGGCGGGAAGGTGCCCCTGGCGCCACAGGGGTGAGTTGCTGGGCCAGCGGCGAGGGTGGTCGACTCGACGCTGAAGGCCCAGACCAGGCGGTGTCCGATGAGCGAGTGAAGCGCGTCAGTATGCTGCCTCTTTTCCCTCTTCCCCTCTCCCAGCTGCCGCCTATGCCGAGTGGACGTTGCCGACAGTCGACAGGCCTGCGAGGCCATTTGCGACGTCTGAATGCGGATGTCAATGCAACCTTGAAGGCTCTGAATTGGATGGCGGGTGACCGACATAAGGCCTCCTATGGGCCCCCAGTCACCCCAGAGCAGGCCAGTGTGCAGGCGCGCGTCCGGGACAGGATTTCGCCCCTTTTGAGTTCCGGCGTCGCGATCCCTGGCCAGCGAGCGGCTTTCCTCAAGCTGTTGCACGGCCGGGCGGTGTATGATACAGAGCCCGGCGGACACAACCTTGCCAGTTTCTCCAATGTTGCCTCTGTGAGCCTTCCTGACAACCTCGAGGGTGCCCCGATGGTGCAAGATGTTGTTGGCCCAGAGGCGAGCCAGTTGGAGCAGAACTACGAGCGCATGCTGCGCCCTCTCTCGGATTTCTTGGAGCGACAGGGGTCATTGCCCCCTATAAGGCCCTACTGGGACCCTGTGCTGGCTCGTAGTCGTCGCAAGTTTCTGCGGCTCATGCGAGCCCTCCATAAGGTTGGTCTGGTCATGCTGCTGCCTGCTGGATCAGCCCAGGAGCATGTCGGCATTTTTTTAAAATGTTTTTAAGAATCATGTAAAAAAGAACACATTAAAAAAGGCAAAAGCCGTCTGATAATAGACGCACGACGTGCGAATCGCCGTTTCGCTGTGCCCCCTGGAGTTCACGTCTGTTCTAGTGAGAGCCTCGCAAGGATTGATGTCATTTTGCCAGGCTCTGTCTCCAGTCTCTCTCCTGAACAGCTCACTAGCGCCCAGATGTCTCTGGGGCTGGCGGATGTGAAAGACGCGTTCCATCGTTTCCGTATTCCGAGTGGTCTGGCCAGTTACTTTGGGTTAGGATCGGCTGCGGCGGGGGAGCTGAGCGTCGTTGGGCAGAACCTTGATGGGGTCCTCTTGGGTGTTGACGACCAGGTCGATATCTGCTGGGCCTCTTTGCCGATGGGCCTCTCTTGTTCTCTGTGCTTCTGCCAGCAAGCGGGTAGGCAGCGCATGAAAAGCGTCCCAGGGCTCACGACCTCGACCCTCCTCCAGGACCGCGGGGCGCCAGGGCTTTTTCGGTTCTCGGAGCGCTTCGACCCGTCTACTGGGACCTCTGCGGTGGAGGGTTCGGGAATTTGCCACCATATCTATGTGGACAACCTGGGTGTGATTAGCTGCGACCCTGTCAGTACTTCGTCGACGTTGTCGAACGCCTCGGATCGGTTCGAGAAAGTTGGCCTGAGGACCCACGAGCACGAGGTGACCTCAGGCAAGTCCAATGTTCTGGGGGCTCACTTGGATCTGGAGGGCTGTCGTGTGTCCCTCTCGCCTGCCCGTCTCTGGAAGGTTCGACAAGGGGTGCTGTGCGCCTTGAGGTGCCGGAAACTTCCCGGACGCGCGTGGGAGGTGCTGCTTGGTCACCTCACGTTCTGCGCCCTAATCAACCGGAACATGATGAGCGTGTTTAGGAGCATCTACGCATTCATTAACAAACATTATTGTGTGCCCACAGCGTTGTGGGAGACCGCCCGACAGGAGATGACCGCCGCCGCGTCTTTGCTGTTCGTGATGGACGCCTCTTGGACTCTTCCCTGGGCCCCTGGCGTGGTGGCGACAGACGCGTCTGAGGAGGGGTTCGGGGCTGCCGTCTCTTATTGGGCTCCTGATAAGGTGGCTCAGGTGGGGAGGATCATGGAGAGGAGACGCTTCAAGAGGCTTCCTGGGGTTTCGGCTCGGGAAAGATTTTTCGGTAGCCTGGAGGATCTTGGGTCGGATGGAGAGGGGCCCGATGACGATCAGCCCTGCTTGGTAGACTCCAATTTCCCCGAGGTCCCACGCAAGCAGCTTTCCAAGGCCAATTGGGACACCATCTTAGCAGGTCCCTGGCAGTACTTGGACGAGGGCATCTATACCCTCGAGTCGCGGGCCCTCCTTCTGGGCTTCCAGGCGGTGGTCAGTACCCATCATGTTCGTGATGCTAGATTGTTGTTCTTGGTCGATAACATGGGAGTCCGCCTGTCTTTCGCACGAGGTCGTGCCGCGGACTTCCGCTCTCTGATGCGTATGCGGAAGACGGGGGCCTGGTGTCTCAGTTTGGGTCTTCGTGTACATTTTCGTTGGATACCCTCTGAATGGAATTCAGCAGACAAACCAGCACGAGCTTTCTCAGTAGAACATGGTGGCTCTTCAGATTTTCCTGTTGGTGTTTATCATGCTCCAGTCGAGCCAGATTCCGACGAATGCAGCAAGACTGATGCTTCGGGGAGGGCCTCCAAAGGCCAAGCTCCGCCCGAAGGCCAGGCTGGCCGGTCAGCCCTCGGGGTCAGCGTCCGCCCCAGCTCCCCCGACATCTTCGAGGGCGCTGGTGCCGGTGGCGAGCCTTCCGTCGGCGAGCGCCCCGAGGCAGGCCAGGCTGCTGGCCCCGGGCGGCGAGCTGTCTTCACGACTGGTGACAGCCGGCCGCGTGCCGCCGGCGGACAGGCCTTTGGGCAACAGCTCAGACACAGAGGCGACGGAGGCGGACAGGACCAGCGACAAGACATCCGACACCGACAGGATCGTGGTCAGACCTCGGCGCCGTGCTCGCAACCTGGAGCTCCCTCGACCAAAGCGGCCCCGAGTTCCGGTGGAACCAGATCGGCTTCAGGGACTCGGACTGCTGCCCCTGGAGTCCAACGCGGTGAAGGCCACCACGGAGAACCAGTACCACGAGCTGGTGACTCTATGGAGGTCCAACGCACGCGACCTCGGCGAGCCGCTCGGCGAGGCTGCCGAGGTGGGCGCCTCAGTGGCGCGGCAGCTTCAAGACTTCTTCGACCAGGGCGAGAACGTCAGCAAGGGCGAGAAGCTCGTGGCTGGTCTGGAGTACTTCCTGCCAGAGTTTGGCCGACATGGAGGGCTTCACCTCTCGCGGAGCTACCGCGCCCTCCGGTGCTGGAGGCGCCGGTGCCCGCCTCGGTCACGTCGTCCCCTCGCACTCTGCATCTGGGCGGCGATCGTCTGGGAGTTCTGCCGGGACAACCTTTGGAACATGGCGGTCTACACTCTGTTTATGCTGGTGACGTACATGCGGCCGTCGGAGCCGCGGAAGCTGCTGAAGGATCACCTGCCCGCCCCCGCCCACGGCCTCTCTGCCTCATGGATCTGCTTTGCTTTTCGCGAAGAATGGGGTCAGTCTTCAAAGACCTACGCCACGGACGAGAGCGTCGAGCTCAGTTGCCAGTGGGTCCCTTTCCTTGCGACCGTGGTGACTGCCCTCAAGCGTGGCCGCCCGAAGGGGAAGGTTTTCAGTTTCCTCTACAGCTCGTGCACGCGCCAGTTCAGGACAGTGTGTCGACGGCTCGGACTAACTGCGGCGCCATATCAGGCAAGGCACTCAGGCGCCTCCATCGACGCCGCAATGAAGTACAGGACGAGAGCCGTGATAAAGGCTCGCGGCCGATGGAAGGCGGACAAGTCAGTGCTCAGGTACGGCAGCAAGGCCAAGATAGTCGAGAGCGTCGACAAGCTGCCCGGCTCCTTGGCGTCTCACGTCAGAATGTGCGAACTCCGACTCGGGGACCTTTTGGGCGGCCAGATCGACCCCTCGGCCATCGTGCTGCCCGACATCCCGAGCTCGGCCCCAAAGAAGCGACACCGTACCTAGCCGACCTGTTTGGAGGCGCAGGGGGAGTTGGGCGAGCCGCGGGGCGATGCGGTATTCGTGCTATGCTGCGGGATATTTCACTTTCCAGGTCTTTGGATCTGACGGATCTGAAGAATATCGATTTGCTTCGCTCAGAGGCTGCGGCAGGACGAATTGTTGCTGTCATGATAGCCATTGAGTGTCGGTCTTGGGGCATCGCTCGCCACAGGACGAATGTAATTCGATCTCGAGAGGAGCCCTGGGGTGTTGCCAGACCAGTCAAGCCTTTCTCGGATAACGACACCAAAGCTTTACAGAGTGGTAACCTCCAGGCCCGACGAGTTCTCCGACTATTTCGAACTATACATTTCTTGGGTATCCCTTGGGCTATTGAGAACCCTCATGCAAGTCTCCTGTGGCGCACCCCAGAGCTCAAATACTCCGAAAGGGACCCGAAGGTGCATGTGAAGATCGTTGACCAATGTGCCTTTGGAACTGCCTGGCGCAAGCGTACTCGTGTGATGTTCGGAAACTGCGACGAGATAGATGTCTCCCTGTGTGATCAGTACGTTTGTGCCGGCCGAGGTGTGCGTGTGCCAGTTTTCAAAGAAACGTCATGTCGAACTCGAAGGACGAAAAATGACTTCGAAAGCCCGGGTTTACCCAGCCAAGTTTTCCCACCTCTAAGCCAAGATCTTGTGCAGTGGTTATGTGTATAGCCGCGCTGTCTATCCATCAACTCGTAAGCTCACATCCACTTGGGAGGACGATTCGGGAGACGAGGCAGTCAGTTGTTCAGGAGTATAGACGCCAAAGCCTTGCCGTTCCGAGAGAGCCAGCGCGTGATGACGGTGGCTGGGTTGATGAGACACAAAGCTGACAAAAAGAGAGTGCAGGTCCCTCATGTTAGTGCGAAATATGCCTGCAGACGGGCACGGGATTGAGGGGCCCAACGAGATCGACTTCTCTATTCTCTCATTCCATTATACGATTGCTCAAGTCTCCCGCCCCCCTCTCCCTCTCGCTTCTGTGCCGATCTCGTTTTTGACCTACGTCGCCTCGGGGGGCGAGGCAGTCATTTGTTCAGGAGTATAGACTCCAAAGCCTTGCCGTTCCGAGAGAGCCAGCGCGTGATGACGGTGGCTGAGTTGATGAGACACAAAGCTGACAAAAAGAGAGTGCAGGTCCCTCATGTATATTCATCTTGCACATGGGAGTGGAGGATTGATGGGAGACGAATTTGCTGTGAATACTTTTTTTGAATATTTTCATCAAATCCATTGAAGGTTGGTTGGCCGACCAAGACCTCTCGTGCGCGAAGGTGCCTGTGATCACGAGCGGGCGCTTCTCTGTTCAGCCGCAGCGCATTGACTGCTCGCTCACTAGTACGCGGATGACCTGACTAAAGAGCTGGTTCTCCCCCGAACTGCTGATCTGGCCGAGCTTGTTGAACTTAGTCGGCGTGCAAATGTCTCGTTGGATGCGTTCCTGTCGGAGGCGGGGTTTGCGCATAATCTGAGTAAGCAGGACGCCCTCTTGCACATCTGGGGCGAGGGCGCAGGTCACTTTCTTCGGTCTGTCAAGGCGGGCCGCATCACGTTTCCCGGGAAAGCTGTTCTTGAGGCCAAGAGTCAGGGGGCGTGGATGTGCAGTAATCCCGTTAACTTCGAGGTTGAGCTTCGCTCGCGAATGAGCGCAATTCGGTAGTCTTGGTACTCCATGGGCGGCTTCTGGACTTTTCGGGGTGTACCTCATAGGTTGCGTCGCTGTTTACTGGTACCTAAGATCTACAATGTGGCTTTATCTGGTTTAGAGGCGTTCTTACCTAGTCCTCAACAATTACATAGACTTCAGACTATGGTCACCATTTGCTGCCGTAAAGCTATGCTAGGCCAGGCTACGACGTGGTCAGCGACGTCCCGCCCCACCTCCCTCTCTTCGGAGGCTGTGCTCAGGTGGTGGAGGCTGGTCCTGCTTGAAGTTGAACTGCGGATTCGTCGCCTTCGGCTGTGGCAGGGCTTTGCGAAAGTCCTTGGGGCATTTCGGCAGGTTCTTGCCAGTATGTTTGGAGGATTTGGTGGCAGTGTCTTGCGTCGTCCTACTGTTGTGCTGCCGAGTGGTCGTCTTAGTACTGATATGTCGTCTTGGGCTGCTCGTTTTGTTGCTGATGTTGAGAGTCTATCGGAACTTGAAGACGGGTCTTCTCTACTCTGGGGGCTCCATCGCCGATGCTCTCTCCTGTTCGCGGATCCTGACTACGCCGATGAGTTCACTCGCATCGATGTTCGTCAACTTCGTTCTTCTGCTCTCTCGGCATGGGTTCCCCCTCCTGGGCAGTCTGTTCTCCCAGAAGCTGCACTTGAAAGTGAGGCTGTGAGTGCATCCGAATTTACCTGCCTGCTCCTGGCTGCGGATGGCTATCCTTGTGGCAAGTCTTTGCCCGACCGACGGGCTTTACACAACCGCATTATCAATCGCCATGGGTATCGGTCCTTGGCTTATGTCGCTACGGTCACCAACCAATGTTGCGCATGTTCGGTTTCTTTCGCTCATCTCGAGAGTGACCGACGACGTCTAGCTCGGAGTCTGGTTCGGGGTCATTGCCTGCGAGATCGGACACGAAATCTTGCGGAGGCCTGAATGCCGTCGAGTTTGACCTGCCCACTGTGCACCTTTTCCGCGGGCGTGTTGGCCGACTCTCATGTTCATATACGCAGTCGCCTTGTACCCTGTCCGCGCCCAGCTCCTCCTCTTGCAGATTGCGATGGAAGCGACGCCCGCCTGGATGCTCGCAGGCCCGGCAGCAGACGGCGCGGACGGCGAGCCCTTGAGGAAGCACGCCCGCTTGCGCGAGCAGGCCCGCGAGGAGGGGAAGGCCTATGGAGGTGCGCTGAAAGCCCTCGTCGCGATCCTCACCCGCTTGGCGCTCAGCAGCGCGGCCGAGCTCCGCGAGATATGCGGGGTCGTGTTCGTCACCTTTCTCGTCTCGTCCGAGGCGCCCGTCATCGCTGCCGCAGTCGCCGCTGGCAAAGCCTATCACGACGAGGCCAAGAGGCGCAAGGCGGACGGCAACACGCAGCCCATGAGCCCGCCGTTCGTCCAGGTCTGGGTGGCGATGATCAGGGCGATCGGGCAGTGCGACACCTGCCCCGCGGAGGTCAAGGACCCGCTCGACCAGTACTGGGCGTCCTTCATCATGAAGAACGACATCGATACCGTGGCCACCAGCGTGAGAGCTTGCCGCGTCAGGCCCACGCGCAAGCAATACAAGAAACCGTCCATGCCCCGCGTGACGTTTGCAGTGGACCAGTCGCACAGCTACCTCGAGCCCGCCCTCATCAAGTTATTCCTGAAGATCGGGGGCACCCGCAAGTTCGGGGCAGCCCCGAGAGGGGCCTTCGAGCGCGACGCGCAGAAGCTCCTGGACACGTTGGAGGGCAAGTGAGCTCGTCGGCTACGGAAAACCACGTTCCGTGGAGGGCTCTTCCGGAACGTGCGAACGACAGGACCAAACGGAGCAATTATATCAGACCTAGGCGAAGTCAGACCCTGGGGGCTGGTCAAGATTGTCAGTTTATACTTCGGGAGTGGCTCGGTACCTGACCTTTGTCGCCCACGTGACACGGATGGCTCTATATTTTTTTTGGGAGCGGTGGTTGTATTTCTCCAACCGAGGGTTTTGACAACCCTGCCGCTCGTGGGCATTGTGCTGATCCGATGTCATGTGGGCGCGCTGGAGGTTCTGATGCTGTTCAGCCGCGTGCTGAAGCTGAGGGCCCCGTTGAACGTCGGCGGGCGCGTGTGCAACGATTGCTTGTTGCTGCTACCAGAGTACTTGACAAAAACACTGCTACTGCGTCTCCGATCCAGATGTCGCCGTCGAGCTTATCGTTCCGTGACGCCTCGCCTGTCACAAATTCAGGGGCCCAGCCATTAGCCACGTTCTCGGTCTATCGTCCTGGGATCGATCGATCGGTCGGGCCCCCTCGCCCTCCTGCTTCTCGGAATCGTCCTCCTGCTCCTCCTCCGCCCGCCTTCCTGGGTAGTGC